TGCCACGCGTTCAAAGTGCCCACGGACGTCATTCACAAATGCGACGGGGATGCTTCCACTTGGTTCTTGGAGTGCCTTCACTAGAAACTCTTTCTGGCCTTCTGCTTTATTGCATTCACATCTTACACTTCTACTCCATCCTATTCTATCGATCGATTTGTCTCTACTCTCCGAAATCGCGCGCTTTAACCCGATTCTCACTATACGTAGCGGCCAAAGGCCAACTTCTTTCCATGCCTCACCTTTGGCTCCGCCCGAACTACCTTCGACTGCCCATAGTGTATTCTGTACTTTGAAAATCTCGAAAGCGCCAATCCCCTCATGGCCGGAAACTTTCGTGTGCTGTTTTCCAGGATGCAACTGACACATCATTCAAGAAAGAACAGAGAATTTCCCGCGAAGGATTCCTTTAAGCATCATCTACGGGATACGGACTTCGATTAGCACTGGCAACTCGAAATTGAGATCTCCAACGTTTTCGACTTCGGCTACCACAGTTCTGTTTTCAGGGACCGAAAAACTGCCGGATGTTTGACGCATGTTGTGAACCATGATGGGGACTACATCTTGACTTGACATCCTTTTTGATGGAAATGTAAGCCTTCGAAACATAAATGAATTTTCGGTCGAAACTTTTTACCCTATACTTCGTTTCATAATGGGTTTTTTCTTTCTTAATGGACTTTTTTTCGTGGGCCATACATATGAAGTTTTGCCTTCATTGCAACACTTTCCGCCTCCTTCTGGTCATCTGGGTTTATGTTCTGCTCATTAAGCGTAGAAAAATTCATTAAAGTCATTTCCCAATGACTCATTTTACTCGCATAAGTAGGAGTTTTTTATTGACAATATGAGGCTTTGAAACGTACAATTCAAAAGGCTTCAAAACTTTTCAAGAACAACTGCAAACTATTCAGAGCCTGAACATAAGCCTGAACCCAAGCTCAACCTTAGGCTTCAATCTGGTGACCTGACCCCAGGAGGAAAACTGAACGTGTCCCGACCTACACTCAGCGCTCCGCTTTGGACTGCAACAGTGCGCGCGCGACACTCACTCTCACGCGAACAAAAATCGGCCCTGTTGGCTGTTCCGCTGTAGCTTGTCGCGCCAGTCAATTCATTTACAGTTTCCACTTTTTGGACAGTTTAGAAGCATTCGGCCTTTCCTTAGAATAAAACAATTTCTGATTGCGATGAAGGTCAATTCGATCACACTTAAACTCCCTCAACATCGTTTATTAACTATAAAACTCTTCAATAGATATTAAATGACTCTGTAAATTACAACAAAAACTCCTACAATTCAAAACAACCAAACATCACAGAACAGAGAAAGATTAAAGAGCAATACATGACGACGACGTATTTACATGATAACATGGAATCTCTAGCAATACGACAAATGAATGATAAAACAAGTAACCCAAAAAACGATTAGAATTTCGACAACAATCACGTCCTATCACGGGTAGAGCCATCTTAAAAGATGGTGAAAACGATTGATTCCAAACATATTTTATCGATAGAAATCACGTAGATCTATTGACTAAGACACGATTATATTCTCTTTAATGCACCAACATCAAAGCTCACGTTCTGCCTTCCATGAGTTCCAGCAGCGTATGGGTTTCGGACTGAGTGCGCATTTTGATCAGCGCTTGATATTTTGTCGGTTCGGGTAAGGCAGTTAGCACCACGTCCACCACCGTGCACATCTGAATCGTCTGCTCGATCACGGCGTTATTTCGCTCTTGTCCTCCAGATAGTGGCGGATTCCAGAACAAAGTCAACTGGGCAGGTGGACCATCAATAAATATTGGATCTCTTGCCATATCAAGTCGCTGAAAACTATTGTATCAAGAAATTCTTAACAAAGCACTGTCGATCACGTGATAGAGCACGCGCGTAAAATCGATACAACTTTCTCGCGCTGTCCAGGAGAGCGTGCACTCTTGCAAACTGCTTGGGAAAACAGCTTCAGCACAGAACTTTCTTCAAAGAAAAAACCAACTGAACACTCACATTCACGTAGACCCTCTTCACGACGCCATATTTCAACACTAGTACATCAAACGAAGCATCCATCACACTGACCACCACACCTCGTGCTTCAATTGGGCCATTCTGCTGAAAGTGAAGCTTTCAGAGAAAAACGTCTAAAGAATCCTACTAAATTACTCATAAGGTTTTGACAGCATAAGAAACAGGTAATTCTCAAAAAATCTGAATACGGAATAGGAATGGTCACTACCACAACCTACCTTCACAACGCAGAGCCAAAGAACGTATCATCGCTCGGCGTTAACGCGCCTTCGCGCGCCAGTTTCTTATGCATTACAGGTGTTGAGCAGCTAGGTCTTTCACAAATTCACATTCACCAGTACCACACACACACAACAGAGTCAAAGTGGGAAGCTATGCTGGACTGCTCACGCCTCTCCAAATCAACGACGTTCTTTTCGGTTGGATGGACAGTCCCGCCTAAGACTGCAGGCCAAGCTGACGATGCATCGTTTATGCTCGCGTAACGCGCATTGGTGTAAGTGAAGTGTTGTATACCTGACCTAGTAGGCAATAATACGCTCATCTGACCTTGGTAAGTTTTCCATAAATCAGCCAATAGCGCGATTAGTTAGTAAAGGGGGAAGGGGGAGTCCCGGCAAAGAGCACCCAAAACGTACAAAAATATGACAAACCAATATTGACCATACTCATTCGTGATCAATCCCTTCACGGCCGGGGGAGGGGGGGGAGAGATATTGCCGGGGCTAATGAAAAGGAATTATTCAAATGACTCACGAGAAAAGGCACTCAGCTCATGGAACTTTGAATCGAGACCGATATATTTCGATGGAGCTTCGAACTTTGACTACAAATATGAAAACTAAACTGCAAAATGAACTCTCCAAGTAAGTTGTGAGCAGTTAAAGTTGGCTGGAAATAAAGCGTTTCATATGAATCGTGGTACCGTCCCGGGTATTCAAAGTCGCATGGTAGTAGTAGGTAGTGCTCTTGAAAGTGTGCCTCGACCGGTTAAGGAAATGCAGACCTCCATTGCTGGAGAGAGACGAGAAAGCACACCGAACCGGCACTCTCGCACTAGTGACACCACCCATTTCTATGAAAGCCCGAAAGCTAGCACGGTTCATATGTACAGCTTTACTTCCAGAAGTATATACGAACTTTGACTGCTCACAACTTCCTTGGCAGGTTCATTTTGCAGTTTTAGTTTCCATATTTGTAATCAGCGTTTGAAGCTCTATCGATATATCTGGGTCTCAATTCAAAGTTCCATGGGAAGTTGAATGCCTTCCCTGGTTAGAAACGGTGGGCAATGAACACATATTGAATTTGTGGAATAAGCAGGAACACGAAGTCAATTTTAATTCCGGACTTACAGTGGTACGTTCAAGGCATAGTGATGATACTCATCCTTCTTCTTCGCTGAACCCGCACAAAGGTAATAGCCCATCTGCATAGGCTTCGCCAATAACATCGATAGAACCTGCAACACCACTTACTAGAAATTGAACCACCGTGAAACACACCGTGATCAACTAGCCTCACCTGATTAATGGATTGCAACAGCGAGTTTCCGCCTTGGAACTTGCTCAACGACGATGCCAGACGAGCTGACGACGCTGCATCCAGTGGGAACCCGATCTTTTCGCACACTTCCAGCTGAAATAACAGGCTATCGAGTATTTTCTGTGATTTTCTAGCCGCTTCGGGGGTGATTAAGAATGAAAAGTTCTCTCCATACATAGCCCAACAGCAGATTCTACGCCTCGGGTTTTTGATAGGTTACATACAGAAAGGGGGCGAACAATGAGAAGGGCGCAAACTCCTTCCATGCAAACATCGTGGGACGTGTTCGTAAGCGCTCTAGCAACTTCGTTTGCTCGCTTTATTACTGGTAGACCAATTCATATCTTCCTCATTTTCCGGAAGCAATAGCCCACATCTTAGCAACTCAGGATTTCCTACGGTACGCTGATACTGGCGTCATTTATCAGTCCCATCAAGCAGAGTCAACCCTGCGTTGCGCAGTTTCAACGGCCACGTTGCGCAGTTTCGCCCGATTAGACACGTTCTCTCGCGCGAACATTCACACTCGCATGCTCGAGCCGTCTGTGTCTCCGCCCATACAGCGTGCGTTGAGGATCTCTCAACGTGCCGTTGCGAACTGCGCAACGCAGGGTTGACTCTGCTACACCCCTCAATCGTCAAAGCGTGAACGACTAGTGCTATCTGTGCAACATGCGTCTTTCGCAGCTACATTAGTACCCTGATAGCTACCCCAAACGACCAAACAGTACATTAGACAATACATTAACAACGCAGAAGCATCCACTCACCACTTCCCGTAGTACTTTTTGTTTTGGTGGCGAGTGGCGTCGCAGAAATGCCGTTTTCGGGAAGTGCGGGTTTGTGCGTGGGGTGAGGAGTGTGCCTCTTATCTTCTTGCCCACAGCAATGTTTGCCCAACAGCATAAACACCTCTTTTGACCAATTTGTGCGAACTTGAGGCTATAACAGTGAATTTCTTTTTTGGGCAGTAGTTTGGACAAGGCTCAATCTTGCTAAACTAATTTACGAAATGAATAGTACAGCATAAAACACACCTCTTCCGCCTTCACTGCATAGGGGAGCTTCGTTTCCTGCATTCAGTGAAAACACCAATTTTGGCTGCTCGATACGCAACGCTCCGTTTTTCACACGAGTTGATCGCAAGCGACGTGCAAGCATGTGCAATTGCATCACCTGAAATTGAAATAGGAAAAGTTTTCGTAACTCATTAATACCCAAAGAATTCATTAGAACTAAACCGCTGCCGACTATTTCAACTTTAACGACGGATTCCATCTGGTTATATCGCACTTTCTGGAGTCCGGTTAATTGCTCTCAACCGCAGCTAAAGATCCAAAAGACCATTGCTATACAAGTAGGGTGGGCGCGCGCATTTTTTGAACAGAAATGTATGTAAGTGGGACTGCTGCCCGCTACTATACTGTCACGAGAATCAGGGAATTCGTGAGCCAGGGGGAGTGTAGCCAATCTAGGGGGGTGAGGGGGGGGGGGTACTTGACATGCGTGAAAAGCTGGGCGTGCCCACCCCACTTGTATAGAGCCGAATCAGGGCAAGAATCGATGACCTCCTATGCTGTGAGCCTGCCGACATTACAACTGCGATATTTCCACCTTTAATACCACCGGTCAGAGGATGGTATACGCTGCTGCTCTCAAGCACCGCTTACAGAACATGCAAGACTTTTTAGAGACCGGACCGACTCGTAAGCGCTTTTTATACCCTTAGCACAATTAAGCAGATAGATAGAAATCACAACAGTTTACACTATACCATCGCTAATATCTATAATGGTTGCTTGTGAATCATCTACAACCAAACTGATGATTAGAGATAATAACTTATAATGGAAATACCTTTCTTCGAATATCCGTCAGTGAAGCACCGTCATGGATATCGGGATACTCTTCTTCCTCCAGTGATTTTTCTGGGTCTTCGATGAAGCCCTTAATATAAACTATCGAGCAACAGTTTTCTGAAGATCTCACAGATGACCGACCAAAGATATTTCACTGGTAAGAAAACACATGAAAAGCTTATGAAGCAGGTGTTACTGGATAAGGGATTACATACTTGTACATGATCGTAGCCAAGGTGGATTCGCGACCGTACAATTGTCCTGCCAAACCACTCTCAACAATTAGTTCCGTTCTTGTCCATTTTCCACATTACCGACAACGCAAGACGATCTTTACCAGGAATGAGGCTGCACATGTCTTCAGTGAGCACTCTTGGCAGCATCGGGATTGTCTAGAAATGGACAACGATTAACACGAAAAAAAGACATGTGAAAAAAGGCTTCATCATCTGGGAGCAAGCAAATGACGGCCAACAGACCTTGTGCACGAGATTCACAGTGCAGGCTCTATTTGCAGCCCATGTATCCAACTCTGTGTTTTCAAACACAAAGTGTGAAACATCAGCAATGTGAACACCAATCTAGAAAAATAAATTTAAGAACGAAAACAAATAAAACGAATGGATTGTCCATTATCGTAGAATTAAAACAAAACTCAAAGATTCAGTAAAAATGAACACCTACTTTCTTTTATCGCATTATCCCACCTCTTATGCAGTAGTGCCAGATATCGACGATACAGTACCAGAATATCGGCCAAACAGCAGCAGGAAATTTTTATAAACATACCTCGAAATCCAGGCGTTCCATTCCCGTCACAATCACTGATCTCTTCTATAGACAGTGCATCATCCAGTTCGTGTGCATTTCTTGCGCTAATGGTGAACACGACATTATCACGAAGATCACGACGATACTTGAATTCTTTCTAAAAATTACGCTGACAGGCTTGTTTTACTAACCTTAGATATTGAAGAGCTACGGAGGCGTGCATGAGGCCATCCTATTCTCTATTTGCGATTACTGAAGCTCCGAACTATTTACGAATGACAACTAAAACTTTTGGCATTCATTTATCCACTGGTTTGTATAAATAAATGAACATATTACCAGTCCGTCATGAAACGCGGGTCGGAAAGACTTTTGTTGGAAGAGCCAAAATATTATAAAATATCAATCACCTCATCTATGGTCCACTGTTTTGTTTCGAAAATCGGAAGGCAGTGCATTACTGATACCGAGAATTCACGTGTATCGACATTGTTGGCAAATAACAAACCTTCAGTTTCAGCCTGGAAACACGAAAATGACTTATCTAACTGAACCTTAGACGTTAAAGCGAGCAAACAAAGTTTAAAGAAATGAGTGATGCCACAATTGGAGTGCTCCTTCAATACTTTTAATACCCCCCCACCCACCACAATATGTGACACGTAATTTCTGTTCGACCCTAACCGTTTCGCCGCGAAGCAACGGCGAGCACCGCTACGCAACAGCGCGCGGCACAATATGTATTACCACCGTACAGCCATCTTCAGCCAACAGTATACTGCAAATATGAAGCCAGGAAAATAAATTCACCTCGACGTCTCCAGCAACACCAAGTGTACGTTCCAACTTTCCTCGTGCAAACTGCGCCGTTGCTTGCCACTCCACCATTCTTGCGACAAAGATGAACTTCGCAAAATCCTAAACGAACAATAAGGGCAGTTGCGGTTCTACAAATTCAAAGATGAACTTCGCAAAATCCTAAACGAACAATAAGGGCAGTTGCGGTTCTACAAATTCATGGTGTTTGAGCTTTATAGCATTCGGCAGTTCTTTGCTACACGAAAATTCGGTTTTTTCCTTAGACTCGAAAAAAGTATGCAAGACCAAACGTCATTGGAGAGTAAATTCAGGGAAGAATTCGTCAGTTTTACCTGATATTAAAAATTAGTAACCCATCGACGAACTTTCTTACCTGCGGTCTCTCGAAGAACCCTGAGGGCAGCTGATCAGCGGGTATCATCATTCGCGGCATACGCGAGTCAGTAGGCGAAAATAGCGCCCAATTGCGATTACCATCCGTCATCACCTTCAGCTGACCCATTGCTGCTCGACAATTCTTCATTTCCATTATATACATCACCGTGAAAGTTACATTATAATGCACTCCGAAGCTGAAAATAAAGCGGGATTGAAAACTGTGGAATTTGGAAGAAACCGCAAAATAAAACAAATTCCACAAAACAGTAAGTCAGAGAAGCTCTCGGCATGCGCTACAGCCGTGTAGATGAAATCGAATTACCTCTGCAGTCTTCTGAAGACACACATCTGGCACTCCCCAGTCCTCGTCAGGCATCTCAGATAGTGTTCGGTATGCGGCCCTCTTTCCACTCGACACAATCTGCGTTCGTTTCGGTACACCGGGAAGTTTTCTTGCCAACTGTAGGGCACGTTGTTGCAAGCACTCCAAAGGTCCATACGACCAATCGATAGCGATTCGATTGTTTTCTGAGAAGTCATCACTCTGTATCCATCATAAATTGACATCATTGTTTCGATCCTACCTGAACCTCTGGAGGGGGAAGACTTGGATGAATGATAGGTACCGTGGCAACGCCTTGTGCCGACAACGACTCTCGACGAGCTATCTCATACTGAAATAATGAAACTACAAGAAAAATAAAAGCAGAACTAAAGCCTTCTAGACTGAACAGACAATAAAAAACACAAATACTCCACCAGAAATACGCCACCGTGGCTCCAATAATAATAACCATCGCCTGTCGGCTGTACTTGCGATCTTTGTTAGGAGGAATAGTGAGATTCAGGTTTGCCTTCCTGATGTGCGGGTCAGCCAGTCCTCCAATGGAGACCTACAAATGTTGAATTTGAATGATTTTGGGGTGGTAGTGGGAATCAACCCGACACTCTACGGTACACTGACGAAAGATGGGTTTACTACACGCGTTACCCTTGCGATCTCACAAAATAGGCAGTCCACAAATATTAGGTGGGTCTTCATAAATGGTGGCGCTTTTTTTTGCAACACGGCCAAAAAATTTTCATACTATAATCCCATGACTTCCTTATCTAGTTACTATCCATTCGAAAGAGAAGTTGTGTCCTGCTTAAGCAAATGTTCTTGTTTCTTCTTCCATCTATGTTCCATGGTTTTCAAATTTTAGGCCTGCGAAATGGGAGGTCCCGCCGACAAAAATTGACCAAACCGACAACTAGCTCTAACTTTATTTTCCCTGCGGAGAAATCAATCAATGATGTACCCTCTACTTACTCATGACCTCTTCTGAACATTCCACCCTTAGGTTGCCGAAAAAGGTTTGCCCTGTTTCTTTTCGAATTGGCCGACCGATAAGCCATGGCAATTTTCAAATTGAAATTCTTCCTCTGAAACGCTATTGTTTTATATCAACTGGTATATCTTTTGTGAGCACTTCTTCTGCTTTATTCGCTCATTTGTTTTGTTTTTGTTTGTTAGGAATTAGCTCGAATTTTAGGTGTTTAGGAGTAAGGTGCTTTATCCACGAAAGTGACCGCATTTCTTTGAAAAAATTATCCCTGAGATGAGAAAATCAACCAGGCGTACATTCCTAACTTAGTCATGACTTGTTCTCTTAAATTCTACTAGTTTTTCAATGTCTCGGCTATAAAAAAATTTCGACCTCGATCTCAGGTAATGGTGCTTGACCGTCGAGTTCTGGTTGAAAAACCAGGTCTGGAAATGGAATGACGCGACTTGTTGGGAAACCTAATAGTGTAATGTTTAGAAGAGGTCATGCATAAGTAGAGGGTACATCATTGATTGATTTTTCTCAAGGAAAGATAAAGTTAGAGATAGTTGTCGGATTTGGTCAATTTTTGTCGGCTGGACTCCCTGGCTGGACCTCCCATTTTCGAGCATGGCCTTAAAATTTGAAAACCATGAACATAGATGGAAGAAGAACACGATATTTTGTAGAGCAGACAATTCTCTTTCGAATGGTATATAACTCGCTGTAAAAGCATGGGGATTTAGAAAATTTTTTGGTTGAAAAAAAGCGACACTATTTATGAGACAACCTAATATAAACGAGTTCGAAGATAGGAGAATCGCACAAGCCAAATGTCTAAGAATCGGCGAAACGGGTCAACCACAGATCTACTTGATTCACTCCGCTCCCTCAGCCTTCTGGCCAGTGCCAGAATTTGTAAACCGCCGAATTCGCAAAGTCTGATACCGGCTTTAGAAGCGCCGTAGAACTATATACAGATCCTTCAATCCTCCTACTCTCCGGCATCAAAACTTCCTCACATTCCGATTTCTCCTCATCGATGTTATTTATGTGTCCGTGTTTCCTCTTTCTATTTCCAACAACTAATATAGTAAATTCTCGAGCTGATGGAAGCAGTATTAACTAACCTCGACAAGATCGTCCGACTTCGGAGCCGCTACAGGTGGAATAGTGATCGGTTGACCATTGTCTTCGCGAGAGACGTTCAGGTGACCAGCGCGCCATGCTTGGTAGAGATTCTCACGGATCTAAGCAAACAGCTCACGAGTCTATTCCGAATGGTTCTACTGAAAAATAACCCACCACCCAGTTCATACGTTCTTTAATGCGCACAATCACTACATCACCATGCAGTGCTCGATTACGGTCATGAACACCAAGAATCAAAAGATCCAATTGATCATCGCCATCCGGATTGTCCACGTACGACTCCTCGTAATTACGCTGGATTCACGCAAAGCGAGCCCTAAACATGCTCAACTTGGGGGCTTCCTCACCTTCGTAATGCACAGTACTAAGGAAACGAGAGACTGAACAAGGAGGGGAGGGTATGAGGCGAGAGAACGCAACAGAGGATAAGGCAACAGTATGCTGCGGACGGCGAACATTGCAGCAGATGCAGCTAATTTTGCAAGGTCCTATCGCCCTTATCAAGCCATTCCTATGCGCGGGAGAGCTACAAATGTGAGTGGACTCTAAGAGCCTATCCTTCGGAGCAAAATCGTCCATACGACTTCTGCCTAGGTTGTGCTTTTATGTGACTCAACCCGCCACAATTAACCATGCCTTGCAAGTGACGGCATCGATGTTGCCTGCACCCAACTAGTACCTGTGCTCTCTAGTCTTCCATCTCTTGCTTTTTTCTCCCGGCACCCATTCTTGGCAGCAAGTTCACTCAAAGAAGCCGTTAAAATAAGGACCTCTCCAAGTGTTCTCAAGGGGTTCCATTGTATCACGTCACATGCAATACGTCGGGTTTGTGTCCGGTGGAGGGGCGACGAAGGAAGGAGACTTCTACTGCCCGGTCACCCCTAGAACAAAAAAAGGATCGCATACCTTCACAAGGTCACCGTTCGCCAGTCCCCTTGTAACGGCTTCAAGGCTCATATAAGGCATGAAGTAGGGTTTGCGAGTTTTTTGATTACTCGCCACACCAACCGGCTGACTCGAACTTTGATACAGTGACATACTAGTGCTGAAAATGGATCATATACTATGAGCAAGAACAAAAGGGATGTTCGAACGTACTTAGACCTGCTCGTTGGGTAGCTGCTTGGAGGCCTGTAAGTGGACGAGCTGAGCGAGACCGTTCTTCGCGATGGTGGCGTAGCACCATGATGACCAGCACCTTGCGTGTTGCCTTTGTAGAGAGGTGGATGCCCTTAGAATGGAAATCAACAGTGATCAGATGAAGCGGCTTCGAATAAAAAAGCAACAGACCATATTGATTCGGATGGGTTGCGTGATGAGAATGTGACGATGGCGGTGGTGGAGGAGGTCGATGCCCTGACGACGGCATGTTTCGGTCCAACGGGAACATTGGAGAGAAATTCACCCACGGAAGTAGAAAGTCTGGAGACAGCTGTGTCCCACGTCCACACTGGCGACTGTCACGGCAATATGGTCCATCTCGACCTACAAACTGGGCACTTCTTCATAATAGAAACTGGGAGGTGAGGCGGTACACGAGAGCTGCAAAAGTGCAATTGGTGAGGTATGCAAGAAACTGCACAACCAACCATGGCGGAAGGAACAAGAAAAAACGAGATGGGTTTGATAAAGTGCAAGGCAACAAGGAAGTGCAAAAAAGAGGCGCAAAATTGATGAGTGGTAGAGTATTGCTACGTATGATGGATTCTACGTTCCATCTAGGAGTGCAGTAATGGCCAGCTTATCATCTTATTGACAATCTGCTCCGCGAGAAGGGATTGGGGTATTTTTTCAAGTTAATTGCAATCTGTGTAAGAAAGACTGACTGAAGGCAAAAAGCGATTTCAAGCTATGACGCTACGGTGAACTGCACAGTGACAATTAGCACAGCCCCTCAACGGACCATGCATTTCGAACCTTCTCCGACAGGATAAAAGAAGGGAATTTGATGGGGAAGAGAAAATCAGTGGATCGGAGAAAGAATTGAAGAGAAGAACGGTATAAAGAAAGCAGGAAAAGGGACAAAAGCACTTGATGATTGAGAAAGAGACCCGGTCTAAAAATAGGAATAGACTGAACAAAAAGAAAGAGGCTCGAGAACTCGTAATGCCCACAGTACAATTTTGAAACATATTTTTTGAAGTAATCAATCAATATCAAATAGTTATCTAATGGTCAATACCAATCACTTTATATGTTACGGGAGAATTGACAGGGAATAACAAAAATTGATTCCAAAATAGGGGGTGGGTGTTTGAAAAATTTCTTTCTCATCCTATTATTTTTTTCGGAGGAATAACCTGATGTTCCGCTCATTTCATGAGACTGACTGTACGAAATTTCTTGACTTATGACCGAGGTCTCGAGCAAAATCAATTTTTCAACAGATCGATCCAATCTGACTGGTCCCCTCCCCACAAAGTTTGGAATGGAACTTATGCAAAATGGGTCGGCTTTCTATCTTAGTGGAAAAGAAGCAATAGCGGCAGACGCTAAGAACTCAATAAAGTTTTCATAGATGCCTCTTAAACCCGTATAAAAAAATCTTCAACACCAGGAAAGAAAAAGTGCGAAACACAGAGCGCATGCATAGTCGGTCGTCCGACAGCAACGATCGTAACTGTCGCACAGCATTGGATGCGTATCGATCGTCAGACTTGCCTGAGTATTCGACGATCGATACGTATCTAATGCTGTGCGACCGTTACGATCGTTGGTGTCGGACGACCGACTATGCATTTGGCCACACCAACGATTTCTATATCGATCTAATATTAGACGTGCGAGAAGACTTAAAAGCAACATGGAGCATCCGATTTACATAAAAGTACAAGCGTAGGGGAATGCAAAGCAGTATTCCAACCAGAAAGTTTTATGGGCGATATTAAACGGCTGAATGGTCCGTAAACAAGCTATAGATGCTAATGGCGTCAACAAAATTATTTTTAGCCCATTATTTGATTTATGGGCAACACAATTATTTGTAAAATAATAATAATGTAAAAAAAACTAACGGAATCCTCCAAAAATATCCGAACCACATTGTGCCGCCGCTGATGCGTACGCCTCCATTGTTGTCTTGAATAGCTCCGGACGGAACACGGTTGAATGGGGTCCTGAGTCGGGACGATGAGCTGAATATTGGCTACCTGATGCAGCAATTAGCCATCCATTTGTTGTGCTGTCGCATTTCATCTACTTGCATTTCTGTAGTGGCACATAGAGACTACAGTAAGTCAATCGTAATAGCTTACAGCAAAGCGGCATGTTTTTCACACAGCCCATCCGCAACGCGTTATAAGACTTGGACTTGACGTTCGTGTGAATTACGTTACCTTTTAGTGCACAGAGTTGCCAAAAGGCATCCAGAACCGTAAAAGTTAGGGACTACTCAGATCCTGGATGCACTCTGTTGAGTCGTGGACGAAAGAGTAGGTAGGAATTCACACGAACGAGTACACAAGACTTATCAATTATTACCGATGGTGCTGGTGAAAGTGTGCAGTTCTTTTGGAAAGCTATACGATTCTACGCTTGAAACGGATAGATAATTCAAAATGCAAATTTTGAATTGACCAACCAAGTCTGACTGAGCAACTATCTCACTTGGATGATATTCACCCGTCGCCGGTCACCATTTGGAGAGCATTTACAGCCATCTCCGTTCTCTGGTGTACAGCCAGAAACAAAGGCCTTTCTCTGGACACGTGATTTGCAGCAATGAAACAAAACCCGAAAAGCCAGTCGCATGCGGTTGCGAGACTCTTTGCTTTCTCAACCAACACCTTGTCATGTGTAAAAATAGTTTGTCGTTTCCCCTCTTTCCCCACAGCACATACACTTTTCACTCCTATAAGGAATTTGCTAACCACGTTATCGTGCTGCCGCGGATTAGCAAGACTTGCGAGTAGGGAATCGCTCAGAAAAGGGCTAGACGCTGAACGAGTTCGCTGCGCAAACAAGCCGCTGAGACATCGGGTTTGCGTGGAGATGTTGCCACGCAAAAAGCGACTTTTTCGGCATTTCGCAGCGGATAAATTCTTCGTGCCGGAACCTCCGGGTCCATCTCCGCTGACCAATCGAGTGGACCTAGAGTTCCCGCAACGAAGGGTTTGCGATGCGAAACGCGAAAAAGTCGCTGTCTTAGAGAACCATACCTTGGTTACATGACTTCTTGAATTTTCTTCCATGTTCACTGTCGCGGGAAGTTGTAACACAGACGGGTACAGTGCATAGCTTGGTCTCTGCTTTGAGCACAGCTAGTAAGAGAATCCGTGAACTAAGGAAATGAAGGTGACCAGAGAGAGAGGGTGGGTAAGTCAGCCATATCAGATGGGCAAAGGCTAGCGTGCGTGATCACAGTGGTCTCGGGACAACCAGGGTCAACCGTCACGTTGGACAAATTCTAAAAATTTTACGACCCCACCCCTTCTGGAGGGCCTCGATCCGAATTAAAATAGCCTGTTGACTCTTTACAGAGGGTTCACATGTGCAGCACGTTAGCGCCCACCTGCAGTTTTTAAAAGAAAGGCAAGTAGTGGAAAGAGAAATTGTCTAGAGAAAAGTCTAAGCCTAAATCCAACAAAGCAGTGTCGTTACCCTCGCAAAGATCAAACTACAGCACGATTCATATTATCTTACAACCTACTTATTGGATGGAAATCCTGGTACTTGAGGCATCTGTCGCAAGGCTGCACTGAATATCGCTTCTGGATCGACATTGTTGCCAACCAGACGTTGTAGTATTGTCCGTCCGATGGTAGCGTTCGATTGCGACTTCAAGCGTGCCAGCAGCTTGGCCATAACCGCGGCCCATCACCTCGTTAACTGGCACTTTACCCGTACGCACCTAAAATGGAATTGTCTCCAAAAAAGCCACTCATCTGAACGTTAGCAAACACTCAACCTTCTTCTGAACTTCATCGAGTAGAGTTCTGCCATTCAAGTCGGCACCTTGAGAAGCAGGGGTTGATCCGGATTTCTTCGGGATATTCTGAAATCATGCAATGCACCAGAAATGCAAAATCCTTACAGATCGTTTTCAAATAAGAATTAGTAATACCACATACCGGGCTAACCTCCTTCAGCTTCTCCTCACTCTTTTTCTTACTGTGCCGCTTCTTCTTCAGCGATACGGAGTTCTCCTGAATTTTCGAACACGTAAGTCAGTGTCAACTTAGAGTTACTTCTTGAACTCAAGTAGAGTTCCGTTTGGAACAGCAAACTAACATGAATGCGCATGATGCAGGATTAC